GTTTGAGCTCCTTCTTGAAGGAATCGTACGTGCTGAAGCACGTAGGATCTGTGCGTCGGCGCCCGTAGGCCCAGCTCCGCGCTCGTCCGCCAAGACAAGACATGGCGAAGGCAACCTTCGACAGTGGGTCGACAATACGTCGAGCCATAATTGCAGTGTCGAGTTCGACAAGCCAAAGAAGAAGGGTTTCATCTTCTCTGCCTTCGTAGTTACTCACGTGTAGCTTCAGATACGCATTTCGAGGTATCACCCCGGGTGACGTTGTATTTGCGGCAGCAACCTCGCGTTGCTCGCCCGTTGCTCGCCCAAGATGAATCCCAGAGCAACACCATGTTGCTCTGCCGGCGATAGCGTTCGTAGCATGGTCGCTACGGCCGCCTCTCCAATGACCGTTGACTGTCGTTGGAGCGCCTCCCACTCTGTATCCGCCAGATAGGGGTAGTCTGCACGCACCACATGCGTCGCAGCTGTGTTGGGGATTCCGACAGACATCCCGTCCATCGAAAGGTTCTCGTGCCCGTGTTCGTAACTCCTACGAACTAGGTAGTCGGTCGTTGAACGGACTACAAAGTGCTATCAGGTGTAGTGGCGCTAGGGATCACTAGTTAGCTTACACGTGTGCGCACGTGTAGGAGGAATGTAGGTGTTCCCAAGTTGTATAGCGTACACACGATGCGTGTGTACGGTGAGACAAGATAGAAACAAGATAGCGTAAAATGATAACTGTATTGTTTGTTTAAAGGGGTTCCTTCCTAAACTGTTAATTGAATATCTAAGGGACTGTCAGCGAGTGGCTGACAGTGATTCGCATCGCTGATTGGTAGAGGTGTGGCGCACGCTACCAATAGGATCCCTTCAAATGCAGTCTTGGTGTGTGAACTCACCAAGACGGGAAACCTCTAACTCTAACCGGTTAACATTACGGTTAGAGTTTCGTGTAACCCCGTTACACCACCCCCGTTAAGCGTTGACGTGCTGGTCACAATACGTCAATCCAAGCCTTGACGAGGCCGTCAAGCCTTCGAGAGAACTCCGCGCTCATTTCGCAATGAGCACGCCTCTGCAAACACCAGCATCTTCGTCAGCGTCCGCGTCGACCTCAGAGTAAATGCCTGCGGCTGATCCTGCGTCCGCATCGACTTCCGTATCGGCGGCAACGCCGACACCCCCAAGTGGTACGACAGAGAACTTCTCCGTCGACAAGTACTTCGAGCTCCAGGAGAAGAAGTACACTGAGGATGCCAAGACAGTCTGTCAGTTGAGTGTCTTGAAGGTTCGTCCGTCCTCACGACCGACGGCGGCAAACCAATGGAACGTGCAACGGGCAGAACTATGCGTCTGCCAGCGACGTCGGCCGCTCTTCATATGGTCAACCCAGGGTTGGCCAAAGGCTTCTGTCTTTCTGAGAAGCAAAAAAGTCGCGTCTTGGACAAAGCCAGCACTTGAGAGCTGAACCTCGGCTTCAGCTCGTCGACCGTGTTTGAATTTGTGCCCTGCACAGATGCGCACCTTGGTTTCGCATCGGCCCCAGACTGTGCGTGACTCTTTGTAGCGTCAGCGCCCGGCACTGACGTATTACTTGTTCTCACAGCAGGACCCGCCTGTGTGCGAGTCTTCTCTTTATGTATCAGTGCCCGGCACTGATACTATATACGTGATCGCAGCAGACCCTGTCTGTGCGTGAGACTTCTCAGTATCAATACCCTGTATTGATACATCACTTGTGCTTGCAACAGGCTCTGCCTGTGCATGGTTCTTCGCGGTGTCTGTGCCCGGCACAGCCCTTTGCCATTGGTCGTTGCACGTTCCGCCTGCTCGTACAAGTGTCAGTACTCGGCACTGACACGTCACCTTGGACCCCAGCGTGGCGTTGTCGCGTGCGGGCTCTCGCTCTCGCACGTAACTTCACTGTGTCAGTGCTGGGCACTGACATATCTTCTTCTGAGGCATCGGGCTGCCTTGTGCGGGCTCTCGCTCTCGCTCTCGCACATGTCCTTGCAACTGATATGTCCGTATCTGTTGTCTTCTGCGGTTGATCGACATCAACCGCAGCGCCCCTTCCCCACTTAAAAAGGAAGACACAGTCTTCCTTACATCGTAAAGTAGACGTGCACACGGTACTAGTGTGCATATGCTCGTAAGTGAGAGGCCAACTTCCGACGTACCATGGCGGAAGGAGCTGAGAGAAACTCAATCAGCTCCTGCGTCTGCGTCAAGCGCAAACGCAGCCTTCTCCGTGGAAAAGTTTTCGCGACTGCGACGACATGCAACCTTCCGGGTTTTGGGAACCCGGAATTCGTACACCAGGGGGAGACAGCCATCTCGCCCGAAGGACGAGATGTGCGGCGCTTCATAGTTGCCCACAACGTCGCCTGGTCAGTATAGACCACGAGCGACGTGTTGCCAACTGATCCCACTCGGCACTTCGGAAGTGTATGCTTCATGACAAGGTTTCCTTGTCATGCACTGGATCATCAATGCGCATCTGATCGTGAGATCGGATATGTACGGGAAAAAGGACGATCTTGCTGACAAGATCGGCTCAGCAGCCAAGCTCAGCTTAGCCGCATCTAACGGCTGCGACCACGAAGCGGTCCATTTCAGTACGCGTTTCTTCTTCCCGTCCACAGCCCGGCTGTGAACGAATATCATGTAGAAGCAGTTCGGTGCGAAGCCGCGCACCGAACACAAGCAATGCATCGCGCACCTTGCTTGATCCCACAACAGGAGCCACTATCGTGTCGGGATACTTCTTCCGCGGAAGTCTCGTTCGAGAGCACATCCTTGTGCTCTCGCAGGATCTTGCAACTCTCTTCGTCGAAGCGTTCCTGCTTCGTCTTGCCACTGAGAGTATCATCACTCTCAGTGGCGCTTCCAGGGACGAGTTGTCTCAACTCCTCTGCTTTGCTTGTCATTTTTTCTCCATCCGAAAGAATGCGTCCATCGTACAGGTCCTTTGCGAAGCGCTTCCAGCTCATGACTGGAAGCGACGTCAACTCCGACGTATAAGTCGGAGGGTTCCCCAACTCCATCTTCTCGTACTGGTACCCAGTACAGGCCCGCGTCAAGACGTTCAACGTTTTGACGGCCACAGTTGGTTCTTGTGTCTGCCCGGCAGACACACCATCAAGAGTCTTGCGCAGCGTCTTGTGCTTGCGCGGTCGCTTCTTCTTGTGAATCCCTGATTCACTTGCGTTTCGTCCAGGCCCGGCCATGGACGAACGTTCCTTGATACCGCCGGCAGACAATCTAGTCTGCGGGCGACCACCGACGGGTTCTTGTACCCTCGGGCACGCGTCATGAAGCCCGGCTTGATCTCGTCCTGCTTCGCTGAACTACAGCACGCAAGCTTTAGTGCTGGACGTTTGCAACCGTCCACACAGCTTGTCGCATCGACTCCCGAAGTCGATGCCTTGTCGTCACCTCAACGCCTTACGGCGGAAAACTTTCTCAATTATGATATCGAGCGCGTGCCAATTCCCGGAGTTGACACGCTGTTGTCACCTGGACGCCTCACGGCGGAGAATTTCTTGGAAGTGTCTGGTCCCTGACGGACGCACTTTTACTGCCAACGAATCCCGGAGTCGTTACAACCCACGCGCTACGGCCAGAGACAGCGGGGCGAGCCACTGTCCCCGAAGGAGGTTCGGATGCACCGTTAGGTGTATCAGCGCCATCGCTCTTTGTTACGTCGCGGCGTCCGAATCGTACGACCGTACGCTTCTCCCAGTCGATAATTGGATCATGGCGTGCAAGCCACGGCATGCCCAATACCATGTCGAACTTGTCGTCCAAGTCCTGGACGAGAAGTTCTTCCACAAACACCCAGTGTTTCTACGAGAAGCGTGCGCGAATAACGCGCTTCTCGGGCTTCGCGATGGCACCCGTAGCCAATCGTACTTCCAACTGACGTTGAGGCACGTACTTCACTTTGAAGTCCAACAACGACAGCCATTGCTGTCGAACAAGTTGTTCGACGCGTCCGAGTCTGCCAACACTCGAAGAGAATCCACTCACTTCGTCATCGACGTCATATTTAAGATGACAAGGATTGGCTTCTCATCTTGCACTTCGCAGTGAGATTCCCTCTCACTGGGGGCTGCAGTACTCAATACCACGTATCCGTTGTAGACACGCGTTACTGTTGTTTGTTTGACCGTGACGATACCCTATATCGCCACGTCGACCTTGAACTGAGTGTACTGGTGTCGTACACTCGCGTGCATAATGTCCGATGTTTCCGCACCGGAAGCATCGCACGTCGGCTCGCGTCCCCTGCTGCCCCGCAGCGGTTACACTTGAAAGGTACATTGGTTCTGGATCTTCCACCTCGTCCGCCACATCAACCGCCGGTTCGAGCGGGAGTGAAACGTTCACATGTAGTTTAGCCTGCCGCAGGCTAAAC